ATAATCAACAACTGTTCTAAAGAATGGACTTTCTGTTCATGTTATTGCATTCACCATACCATTTGGAGCATCAAGTTTTAATGCTTTGATGAGGAGTTTGACACATTCATAAAGATCTGAATTAGGTTCAACAGGTATCTCCATGTCACAACTATAGCACCTGGAAAACAAACATAGATAATGATGACTTTTCACAGCTCTTACTTTCTTCAGGTACTGTATTTGCAAGTACAGTTATCCAATTCTTTATACGTGTATCATTAATTACGTTCATAAGCTAAGATGTATAGTACAAATGTATATAATGTAATGCTGAATTCAGCTTTCTTAAAGTTGTTTATCTAGTATTTAATTTCTTCCATTCATCTGTTCATTATTCTGCTTAATCATTCACATGAATCCAAATTAATTAATCTCATTCATTTCCTCTGAAAGTCAAAAGTTAATTCKATTAATCACCCTCCATCCTATCCAGTCATTTTATTTTCAATTTTTCATTCATTTGCTTATTTATTAAAGACCTAGCACGTGCATCCAAGAAACTCTGAGATCGTATTTTGCTTTACAATAACGATCTTTGAAGGTTGCTTTCTGATTGCTTAAATATCAAACATGTTAATTTTTCATATCTGAGAAAATCAATCAAAGATTATTTAATGCACATTGTGTCTTTAACTCAGAAAATGGTTTGATTGCCATTGCTTTAATTAATGAATTTGTTGTTTTATCTATTCATTCATAACACACCTTTCTGTTTCCACAACACACAGTCTGTTGATAGCTTTACTTACCATACAATCATTGACTTCAGGTGAATTGTGATATTATGAGATGGACACTGATCATAATGGCTGAGGGCATGCTTATCATCACTATACCGGTCACAACCCTGTAAGGAATAATTTAATGTGTATTATTGCAAAATGCTTACATTATACTGACGATGTAAGGCTCATGATAAGATTTATAAGTTAGATTATGATGATGATGATGATGATAATGATGCAATGAATCGTATGTACAGTTACAGTGACAGAAATGTATGGGAAATATTTGGCTTGAGTGCACTGTTGTTCTTACTTTAAATCTGCGCAACATAAAATGCATAAGATTTGAATTTAATGGATATTTGATTTTCATTTATAATTCAACCCTATGACTTCAATACCTGTTTTGCACATCTTAAACACATGCAAATCCCAGTATCTTCATCCAAACCTGTGCATAACTAAAAATGAAAACAAAAAGTAGGCATCTCATAAATAACATAAGGTACTTGGCCTCAGACATGGGGTCTGGACAAAACATGTTCTGACCACCTTGAGGCATCTGGGTATATYTAATTATGTTAAGTACTTGCTCTCTAAAATACTCACAGAGCACTGTCCAAGTTTCATGTGTGGGACTTGGTTCTGTAAAACTCCCAGTTTCACTGCTTTGCTCAGATGTTGACATCTCTTTAATGACCCTTCCTCTGAAATAGTAAACCAAATTAATTTATAATACTGTATTTTTGATTATAAAGATCATATATTATTATTACATGTCAAGCCATTCATCTCGTCACATTTGAAGTTAGTAAGCTTACAGATGAACCAAAGAAACTTGTTAAAAAGTCAATGTGAATGAATGTAAATTAGATGAAAACTTTAGTTCAAATGGTGCAGTAATCTTTTGAAATATTCTGGATTGAAACACCTTCCCCATCTTTACATTATAAGGATTAATCTATGAGTAGATATAAACTAACTTGTTTTAACATGTCAATATATTTTCCCTGGTAGGAGGATAGCCTGCGTACATCCGGTTTATTTTCATACGAGTAATAAATAAACGCTGGATAAACTCAGGCTAGAATGAGAACTGCATTTGATTTTACCTTGCAAATGKAGATCTGTTTCTTCGCGATTTTCTTCATGTTCTTTCCTGCTTTTCTTATGACCATGTCGTCGGYTCTTTYTTCCCATATTTATAGATAARTGTAAGCAAAATCAAACCATYTAGAAACATAAGAATGATATAAAATTCCACATAGAATACTACACGTGATTTTCAAGAAATTTTTGTTGTGTATGAGTAAGACTGGTAAATAGTTTGATTACTGCTGGACATATGTTGCAGGCTCAGATTTGATATATTTTTGTTTTCATGATTATTTCAACGGTATATATTTGTTCTGATCAGCTACATCTTGTAGCTTATTGATCTTTGAAATGAAATATGTCGAGAATATACGTTTTATGTAGAAAAGGTTTTTTTTATTTTGGTATCAAAATCTTTTGGCACTAGGGTAGTGGGGAGGGGACTTTTTCGTCCATCAATATCCGGTCCGAGCATCTGACTAAACAACAACTTTGACGACGGAAAACTTTCCTCTAATTGACACTGACAAGGAGAAGAAGCTTTTGCAAAAACTGAAAATATGAAAGGAAGAATTGTGATTTTCTCCATTACAGGCTGTCCGTTTTGTCTTCGCGCGAAGTCTAAAATACGAGACGAGTTGAAGCTGGAGTTTGTAGACATCAACCTCGACAAGTACCCCAATCGGCGAGTAGAAGCTAGTGAAAGGTCAGGTCGAAGAACAGTTCCTCAGATATTTTTCAATAATATTTATGTTGGAGGATACGACGACCTTGTGAAGCTGGTAAGTAAGTGAAATAAACTCTTTCAAACAGCTATTTTGTTTTATTTATWTACTTTTTCCCAGCTAAACTATAAACTTATTTGCAATCATGACTGGGCATAATTAGGGTTTTTCGTGCGTGACACGCGAAATCAGAAGCCTATTTTTTAAGAAATATAAAGGTTAAGTGGGTACTAGGGTAGRTATTTTATTTGGTATTGTATMTCAAAGATATAGGGCATCGACCGGTCAAACTGCTCACTATGTATTTTGTTAATCATTGAAAGGCTGCGTATGGGATCCCTGTGTAATATGACTGTTGGTTATTTTTAGCCCAAAGAGGAGCTTGATAAGTTTATTAAAGAAGTCCAAGAAAATGAAGCACCTGATAATGCACCACAACCACCCAGTGCATCAGAGGAAGGTTGGTATACTAATGCATTCAAGTTAATTTACTTTCAAGCAATAACATGCTGCATAATGACACAGAATATTTGGACCATTTTTTTTTATCAAAATACATGTCATGCATGTCCAAATTTTCTCAAAAATGTGTTCAAGTTTAAGTTTTGAGTATGAATATTTGTGATCAGCAATAGTTAATTATGGGTAGTAGCAATTGATGTTGTTGTTGCTGCTCAAAAATGTGTTCAAGTTTAAGTTTTGAGTATGAATATTTGTGATCAGCAATAGTTAATTATGGGTAGTGTTTCTTGTAGCTTTTTTGATGATTAATTCTTATCAATTAAGTATACACCCTTTTATAATAAGTCCCGAGGTATTACGTTCTCCGCACTTGACATCAAATTTATTCTTTTGGATTTCTTTTGTATTGTAAAAATTTCAAAAGAATAAATTTGACGTCAAGTGCGGAGAAAACAATACCTCGGGACTTATTAAAAGGGTGTATAGAACCACAATTGCAGGTATTTCTTACTATTTTTATCATTTGTTTCCATATGATAACTTTATAGCAGCATGCAAACCCACTCACACTTTAATTAGACTCTCCGCAGCCGTTTTCTGGTATCGTCTCTTAATCCTCTGGAGGATGAAGAGACAATTATACCAGAAAACGGCTGTGGGGAGTCTGCCTCACACTCCCCTCAATATCAAATACTGTATTTGTATCATTTTATAATTCCAGTTTCTTTATTCTCACTAGATGACATTGAKGACATGTATGAATTCTCTTGTGAACTTGATGAGTATGCAGAATTGGTCAAGACTATCAAAGAAAGTGGTTTGGTCAAAGACCATAGGCAGCTTCTAYACTCCCATAAGAACTCATTTATTGGTAAAGAGGTTGTTGAATGGCTYATTACAAACAAACAAATTGGTGAGTAGACTCTGGTTTACTTTAGACATACTGTATGCCAACGCTACAAAGTCTAAAGAGAATAGCATATAGTGGTGTTAAATTATATTGCAAGAGGCTGCATGAACTTGTACTAGAACTTAGTCAGGATAATACCCCCCATGGTAGATTGAGTAAGATGAAGAGAGAAGGTGATATTGTGTTTGAGTCTGAGAATAACCAATTTACAGGGGCGGATCCAGGGGAGGGGAAAACGGGGAATATTCTCCCCCCCCCCCTCCCAAATGAAAAAAAAATTATGATAATAAAAAAAATCCCCTTTCCCAATAAAAATATAACTTTTCGTTTTCAATCCTGTTGATATATCTAGTTGAAATATAGAAACTCAAAACAATATAATTAAAAATTATATAAACTTAATTAACGAAAACTAGAAATATAATTAGAATAATTACAATTTAGATTGAAAACAAAAGGCTTTCCAGCTAAAAAGTTTTGATCAGTTGTATTACAAAGAACTAAAGCTTAATGAGATGAGGTTTCCATAGCTTGAATGCTTTGTTTTCAATTTAAATGGTGATTTCTTTGCCCCGGTTTCAATAGCCGCACTGTAAAAAAAATCTGAAGTATTTCATTAATATAGTATAAGTTTAAAGAGTGGCCAATTTGAAATTGATGTATCGGCTTGACACATTTTATTTCCTTTTCATTTCATTTAAGTAACACTCACGAAAATAGCAAACTTGTGCATGCTGGTGTTTAATATTATTTGGAAAATAAATTCCCCCCTCTAGAAAATTCCTGGATCCGCCCCTGATTTACCACAGAACTGTTGAAATTTGCCGCTTAGCCAGAGGATACTTTGTGTTATTTTTTTTCTACCTCTATTTTTCCTGTGTGGGCTCCACTGTGGAAGGGGCATGGGGATGGTGTGGGCATCATCCAACCTTGTTCCCAGRGCTACTCTGCTCACTTTTTCAAAATGGCACCCTTGCATTGGCCCACCAAATATGGATTTTGATTGGCTAAGATTTTTCTCAGCACTTTCCATTGGTTGCTCATTTGTTGTGACTTTTTGTCCTGGAAAAAAATGAAGAAATGATGTAAAGTTGGTGGAAATAGATACAAGACACGGAAAATGCAAAAAGAAAAAAGCTCCAACAATGGACACTTTTTCCGTTTCCCAAGGATGCTTACCTATCTATATTATTATTTGTACTTTCAGAAAGAGATCATGCTTTGGCAATGTGTCAAAATCTTATTGACCGCCTCTTTGTGAAGAGGGTCAARGGTGGACAGGAAGAACCATTTGCAGACGACAACACTTTTTATCGCTTCTTGGAGGATGAAGAAAGCAATGCATTAAACTCTGGTATGGAGTCCCTGTGTGAACCAAGGCCAGCCCATGAAGTAGGAGAAACGCTAAGACATCTTATATTAAAGCTGTATAACAGCTATTTATCACCAGATGGAAAGGTGAGAAGGCCAAACTTCTTGACACAACAGCTGCATWTTTTGTAGCCTTTTGTTCATAGTGGCGTGGTAAACTACAACAAGTTATAAAGAATGAGAACAAAAAAAAAAACAAAAAACGAAACAACAACATGCAAACAATTAAAACAACAATCAACAAACGGGAGAGCCTACGCAGCACTCAGTTGATGTAATGTATTCATAAAATGTATTGTATTCCATTGTTTGTCGTTCTATTGTATTATGTGTTTTGTATTCTTAATGAATACATTACATCAACTGAGTGCTACGTAGGCTCTCCCATCAACAAACAAACAAACAAATGCGTTTAATTTCATGTAATATGCGACACAGAAAATGTTGTTCTAAGTGTCAATTCTAAGTGCCATCAATCGTTTGTATTTGTGCAGGGTGTTGACTATTCGTCGATGGGTGAGAGTGATCATTTCAAAGACTATGTGAAGCACACAGCTGAACTACAACGTGTGAAATTACAGGACGCCAGCAGAGAAGAAAAGCTGTCATTCTTTATAAATATTTATAACGCCTTAGTTATTCACGCTACTGTCGTGAAGGGACCTCCAAACAACCTATGGCAACGTTACAAGGTAATGGCACGTAGTTACTAAAAGAAGGAATGACCTAAAATGATCTAAAATGACCTAAAATGATCTAAAATGACCTAAAATGATCTAAAATGACCTAAAATGAGCTACAACGAGCTACAATAAACAACATTTAGTGGAAGAAATGGTAATATTTTGTATTATCGTACTGTTGAGCACAACAAAACCACAGGTAGCCCAAGCACTACACTTGTCGGCTTTTCTCTGAAGGTACGAAAAATAAAATAAAAGTAGGAAATCTTCATAAAATGAATTCAAACTCACACAATATATTGTTCTTAATTTATTACACATCTATGCGAAGTTTCAGCTCTCTGCAGTCAAAAGAACTGCTTTTTTTCTTGATGTTGGTCAACTAGATAATGAATACTAGTATTTATTATCTAGGGGACCAACACCAAGAAAATCATAAAAAAGTACTTACCTCCAAGATGGCTTGTTAATGACAATAGTGATAGTAATGACCTTCACTTTTTCCTCAAATTATTCAACCAATCAAATTTGGTTGCTATGTGAAGTTATTTTTCCTCAAATCATGATRAACCAATTAAATCATTGTTGCCGTACAAAGTTACTTTTCCTCGAATCATGATAAACCAATCAAATCATTGTTGCCGTACAAAGTTACTTTTCCTCGAATCTTGATCAACCAATCAAATTAGTTTTGCTGTGCAAAGTTTTTTTTCCCTCAAATTATTCAACCAATCAAAGAATTGTTAAGGTGCAGTGTAAATTTTTCCCTTAAAGTAATATGAACCAAACAAATATTTTTACCATGCAAAGTTATTTTCCCCTCRAATCATTTGACCAATCAAATTATTGTTAAGGTGCAAAATATTTTTTTCTAATAAAATGTTGTAAAATCTGTATGTAGAAAATATTAATGCCATGCATCCCACTTTCCCATAGTAGTTCTTTATTTTCTGGAACAACACCCTTTCCTAAATTTATATTTGAACAATTATTATGCTTTACATCTTTTTTTTTGTTTACTTTGTTTTGTTTATTTATCAATTGTTGGGAAATTTTGAGAGCTCCAAGTACAAACACAATAGTTTCAGCCAAGTTTTAATGAAAGCCAAAAAAAGCTAAATGAAATACAAAACAACTAGTCTCCTTCGCATCCTTCGCGTTTTGACACCGGAAACGGATGCAAACGAGACTAATAAACAACCAGCCGTTTGAAGTTTGTGGGCTTCCTGTTTATTTGTTAAGACAGGGAGCCCAAAAAATTAAAACGTTCTAGCTATAAACGTAACTCTTACTCTGGAATTTTTTTCATTTATCAAAGCAAAGCAAAGAATAATTTATTGACTAGACAACTAGATTTCTGTAATGCACCTGATGCGATGCAGGCTATATTTGAGTTGGGTATTCAAAGTTATAAAAGCTAAATTATTTAACGGACATTTTGAGTAGGTTTTGTTGTGTCCAAAAGTACGATAATACAAAATATCACCATTTCTTCCACTAAATGTTGTTTATTGTAGCTCATTGTAGCTCATTTTAGGTCATTTTAGATCATTTTAGGTCATTTTAGGTCATTTTAGATCATTTTAGGTCATTTTAGATCATTTTAGGTCATTCCTTCTTTTAGTACCTACGGGTAATGGCAACGGTACAAACTCTGTTCATCGGTTACCTCTCCCCTTCCCACTCGAACCCCCTCCCATCGCGTGCACTCTTAACCTTTGATGTTGTGAACTCTAACTCATTGATTGTTTTCACCAATTCCCATGAGATTCAAAAGATAAAAGACCAGCGACATGTTGGAGGAATGAACAAATTAATAGATACTAATGAAACGAAGAACTCCAGATTTGGGCAACGTTTTCCAAAGTTTTTCTTTAGTGTGCGCGATAGGTCGAATAATAGAATATAGAATGAAAATATAATAATAAAATTCATGTAAGAGTTTCCTCTTGAATAATATTTCAGTAAAACTACGTAGTATGTTTAAGAATTCCAAGCAACCACAATGCAGTGCGCGCACGTGTTATTGTTTACATACGTTTAAATGCGCCAAACACACAATAGATTATAGATTGATAGTACCTGTGAGGTACTTAGTTAAAGGTATTTATGTCAAAACTGAATGGTAGGAAGGATGGAAGACGATTCGCGCTCACTTTAAGAAATCTTACGTATCCGCCATTTTTGTGTCTACCTAAAATGGTGCTTCGGCTCGCAAGGTATGGCGGTTAGTTGTGATTCCTTAAGCTCTTGAGAGCAAAACTAATGTAATCATCATTACCATTTCATGGTTCTAAAATAATCATATTTTGTTTTAGTTTTTCAACACTATCAGCTACATAATCGGTGGTCACGTGTACTCGTTGAATGAAATCGAAAATGGTGTATTGCGGTCGAACCGGCGAGCAATTGGGGCGCTTAGAAGACCATTTGGTAAGAATGACCCACGGTTGAAGATTGCACTGGAGCAACCCGAGCCTTTGATTCATTTCGCTTTGGTTTGCGGTGCAAAGAGCTGTCCACCCATCAAGACTTACTCAGCTAAGGTAGCAAACGCCATTTTTATCTGCAACTGATTTTCTTTCGACGTTAATTTTGTCCAGTGCACGTGATTCATATTTTCATTTGATAAGGGCGTCAACGACGAACTCCGACTAGCTGCAGAAGCCTTCTTAGAAGGTGATGACGGCTGTCAAATTGACATGAGCAAACGAGAGGTAAGATTTTATGAAAAATGCAGATACAGCCATGGTAGCGATACAGCACAAATCTGCAAATGGTCTTGATAAAAAAAACCTAAACAGTGTAGCAGACAAGACTAATCCTCAACCTTACATGTAACCTCCATTGTAGGGACTGTAAATATATCTTACAAGGTTTAGCAAACACTGGCAAACTATTGCTTGTAGTGTATACTTTGACGAGGTCTAATTGTTTTAGTATAAGCATGCTAATCGGTCAAATAATGAAAAAAATTGAATTAAAATAATTTATGATTTATTTATTTTGATTTTCCCGTGAGTGGTCTATCACAAATTAGACCATTAGTAGAGTAGTCAATCACAGCGCAGTATGAGTCATAGACCAGTATGTTGTTAGTACAGTATGTTTATACTAACAACTAATAGCGGATATTATTATAACAAATACATCAAAGCTGGTAAAGTCAATTTCCTCGTAAAGTCTTTAAATTCGTCAAAGTTTGCTTTTCCATGCACACGGACAGACACATCCGCCGGCAAACGCACGGGCCCCTACGTCGTGAACATGATTTTTCCATTCGACTGTTTAACACTTGCTCTTGGGGTTAATTGGAACTATTCCAACGCAGGACGCAGTCCGCGCTATATAACATTCAGGCACGTAGGCTGCTTTACAAATCGTTTTTTTTTTTTCGTAATGCGGACCTAAATTGAATGTTTAAACTAAATTAGATCAATGCACAGGTATAGTGTGTAAGAACTGGCTGCTGGTATTAGCAGTTCATACTAGAGAGTTTTAGCATCACGTTTACGGCAAACCGCTAACGGCTGAGCTGAACCAATGACCTAAGAATTTCGAACCCGGCCTTGTGCTTTTGGTAGTCATTTGAAAGAGCGGCTTTTCCGCGATTATGGCAACCTCAAAATAACCCGCTCTCGATTTGAAACTGCAACGTTAAACTCAAAAAAAAGCAGGTCACGTGATCTTTTCTGCCTTTTGGCGTTTACCGTGGACGTCTTGCTAAACCTCTCTACTATCTCAAAAACAGTTAATTAAAAAAAAGAATTAGAATAGAAATAAAATATCGAGGGTGGGGGTGGGGGGCTCGGACGAACCCCCAAACTCCCAAGCCTACTGACCAGATAATCAGAAATTGTGTTTACCTTTCAGATTCATTTAAGCAAAATCTTTCAGTGGTACAAAGAGGACTTTGGAAAGAATAACGCTGAGGTTTGCTATTTATCTAAAAGATTT